GAGTAAGAGTTTATGATTAATACAGTTGTTCCATAGTTCTATTTTGCAAACAGAACTATTTGAGAATGTTGGCCCATTTCCCTATAAAAATACATGCTGATTTGTTTGTAGAAATGTTCTTTCATTTTAATGATATTGCTGTGTAGACTTGTGCGTTCTGTTTCTCCTGAATCGTAGTTTGTCCATACAGACAGTTCACAAAACTGTGTTTAATTCAGAGATCAACTCTAGGCGCAGAAAAACAGATGATTTATGATTAGGGGACAGCCGGTACATTTAGATTTTATTTACAGATCAAGTGAACTAAACAGGGAGCAAAAATGAGAAGTCAAAATTTTTTATATTTATAAATTTTATATTTAATAATCATATAATATATAAATGTAGATTAAATTTTTTTTATTGGTTCTCCTCTTTTTTCCATCTATTGTTTACTTTTTTGTCACTTGATCTTTGAAAAAAAATTGTATAAAAATTAGAAAATTGCTGTACTGGAAAATATATATATATATAGTATTTATATTTTCTAGTATACTGATTAGCCAATTTTCATTCCTTTTTATGTTCACCTGAATCATTTTTTCCAAACCGATTGAATGTCCAAATTTTGTCCAAACTGAAACATCACACAAATGAATCACGAATCACCCAAAACAATTAATTTTTTTGCAGGAATCAATTCAGAACCACTTTTATTGCCATGCACAACTCTTTTGTCTTCACTGTTTTTAATGATAGGTTAACATATAGACTATGTTAGTCTCTGGAGGTTAAAGTATAGGTTTTAAAAAAAAAAAGAAAAAGAAAATATCACGACCGTGATTTTTTGCACGTTTATATGTTTCAGTATTACAATTTTCATTTTTGCTGCTTGTAGAACTGCCTTGGCATTTTGCCCGCACTGCTCCATCCCATATGTGTCTAGATAAATATATCTAAAAAAAAAAAAGATGCATGTACCAATACATTGCTAAAAAATAAATCAATACAGGACAAATCAGAACAGAAAAAAGTTATCCATTCTAATTCTACTCTAACATTATAACAATAATGTTTAGCTTAAAATAAGGCTGAGGAATATTTTAGAAATATTTTTCACTTTATCTCGTGCAGCTGAATTACACCCGAAGGGTGTTCGTAGTTATCATTTTTAATCATTTTTCTAAACATACTCCAGAGTATCTTTTTAAGAATTGTATTAATTGTTTTTTTGTTTTTTTTCTTTCTTGTCTGTGAAGTGGCTGATAAACACCTACATCCTTTTGAAAACTGCTGAGAAAAAAAAAGTGATAAATAATCAACAATGTAGCTTTAGCATCAGATATTTCCTCCTACTGGGATTTAATGAAGCGTTCTAATCTCCGGAGTTGCTAAAGATATCTCAATGTTTGTGAGTTCTAAAATCCATGAACAGAATATTTGATGGTTACAGTGAATCTCAGAGCTTTAAACAAACGTCCGGCTTTCTATTAGAGCAAACACGTCATGATATTAAAGGGACTGTCACACGATAAGATAAACCAACAAAAACAGAATACACTGCACTCAGGTCCTGCACATATGCTCCGGCCTTCCACCAAGGTGGCGCTCTGTGTGTAGGATGGACACCGCTGAATCCACCAATGTAGTATCAAAGAAGAGAAACTCCAGGATATAGAAGGTGAATTTATTCGTGGGTTTGATGTAGAATTATTAAAATCTTTACTGAACTTGTATTGAATAATTGTACTAACTCCATTTTTAATCTCACACTGTGACAGAACTCTCCATTTTGTTCACCTTACATGACAGTATTCAATATAATGAATAAGAGATTGTATTTTCTCTCTCTAAGGACATAACTAGCCCCGGAGTTAGCGGATCTCCGTTGACTTGCAACATAGTATAATCCAAGGCCAGGAGAACAGCGACTAAATGAAATGTTCTATTCATAAAAGAACCTTGGACCAGACCACGAGACTGACATCACTAACTACGTAAAATGATGCCCAAGCCCCCCCTTTCCACCGAGTAAGCCTCGTGCTAAAGAGCAATGACATCCCATGATGGGAGGGTGCCTCACTAGTCACTCAAATCTCTGAGCCAATTAATAATATTAATGGGTGGACACTGACATAGCCACTTAACATTTAACCCAATTAATGATGTTTATTTGTTATTATCTGATATTCAATGATGATGTCATTTTGCATATAAAAAGGCCTGCGTGCCCGCTTTTTAACTAGATGCTAATAAATTTCCTGAAGTGTTTTTAACCTGAACTGCATGTGTCAGTGTGAACTTACTTCTGCGTATACGCAATTTATTCATCTCAGATTTGGACAGGAACAGATAGACTTTTAAACATTTTTGTTTATTTCTAAATTAATCTACATCAATTTGGCGTCCATCCACGTGGGGCATCGGGCTATGGCTTCCGGCCGGTAAGCCGTCCTAAGGAAGACGCTGTTGGACGGAGGAATCAGGGGGGAAGGAAGAGAGACTGATCACCTCTGTGTACACGGTAGAGACTTCTGCAGGAGCCACCGGTATGTTCCAGCCCCTTTGATTGACCCGTCCACGTGTCTGTGACTGCTTCCCGGGAGGGCATCAAAGACAGGTAATATCTTGCCCGGTGTCTTGTTACCCATTTGTTTACCTGCATTTAGTCTATCTGTTGCCTGGGTGTGCTAGTGGTATATGTTTTGTTCTTTCCCTCTTTTGGGATAAAGGGGGGTGGACCCGTGGGTGGTTGCCTGGGGGTCTTCTGTTGCCTGTTTTTACCCCTTTTTAGGAGTCACTTGGCCCAGACTGTTGGGAAAAAAGGGGGGGTGGACCTGTGGGGATTTTCCAAAGGGGTCCTGTTTTCCTGTTTACTTCTTTTAGGTACTGTCTAGCTAACAGTAGTAAGGAAAAAGAAGGGTTGGGGGATCTGTGGAGGGGACTTGCCTCCTGGGGTTTCCCGGTTACGTCACTTTGATATTCTAGCTAGCCTCATTGTGTACGTTGCTCTGCTTGCAGAGGTTATGGTACCCTCCAGCTTCGAGCGCTGAGGCTGGTGGCATTCCAATTTATTTGTGGTGTGTGGATTCGGGCAGGCATTGTTGTCTCCATCACCACGGGGTAGTGTGACTTGTGGGTGGGTCCATAGGGAGCACTACGGGAGTGAGGATAGAGGTGGCCACACTTAGTGGACTGCTGTAACGAGGGAGGCATATGGATTTCGGACCGGTGTTAGTCGTTATCCTTGGCCGCTGGTAGTGAAACTTACGAAAGTTGTTCTCCGAGCGGGGACACTACGAGATTGAGGGAGGTGGCCTTGGTGGCCACAAGAGTAAAGGAAAGGGATTACTGTTGATGCATGCACTGTATTTCAATTGAAATGTTGTATTAAATGTTGTTTTAAGTGTGGAGTCATTCAAACTCCTGGGTCTGTCTCTACTTTCACTGTTTACTTTTCCTCTACTTCCTGTACTATTTACACTATCCACTCCTATTTCTCTTGTAAGGGAAGTGATTGGTCACACACTTCTCACCCCGCTCCAATCCGTGGCTACCACCGAGGGTACACGGATTTAGTGACTGGTCTACGTTTTGGGAAGACGCACTGGGAGGGACCCACCCTTCCTAGTGGCAGTCGAGCATTGTAGACGTTCTGTTTCATTTTCCTTTACCTATACTTGGGACGCTCTGTATAGGGGGATATGGGACAGGAAGTGAGTAAGCCCAGTAGGGGCTGGCTCGCGTGTGATTTAGTTGAAGATAGAGAAGGTGAAGAGATGATTAAAAATGTTGCAAAGATTGCTAAAGTGTGTAAAATTGCTGTGCCTTCATGTGGTAGATTACAGCCAGAAAGCTGGCGTAGATTACTGACAGAGAAGAAAGGCAAGCTTACAGATAATGATTTATTACGTACTGCTGAAGCATGGTACAGAGTAGCAAAGGCTATCCAGCAGGAGGGTTGGGTAGAGGAAGAGATAAATCATAAAGGTGTAAGACTGTATGTGTATCATAAGAATTGTGTTACTGGGGCATCCTCTCAGCCAACACCCCAAGATGGTGCCCAGGGGATGTCTATTCCCAAGGTTCGGTCAGCAAAAGGCGACAGCCAGCTGACCATGTTCTCCACTCCCGAACCTCCCGTCACCCATCCCGTCACCTCCCCTGTCTGCCCAGTCCTGAATTCTGACGGATCCTTTTTCTCCCCTCCATCATCCCTAACACTCCCATCATCCCCATCCATCCCTGCATTGCCTTCTGTGACTAATCTGCCTAGTCTAAATGTTTCATCCACCATTTCTTCTCAACACTCACTGTCCGTTGCTAACCCTCCTACCCCATCTTCTTCCACCCAGTTAGCTAACCCCTCCTCCCTTGCTATTGCCAATCCTACTGCACCCACTTCAGCTACTCCTCCTACACCCGTCTCCACTAATCCCGCTCCGTCTTCCCCGTTACTCACTCCTCCCACAGCCCAAGTCCCCACTCCCCCCCCTAATCCTTACTCAGCTATTATGCCCTCCCTTGGTTCCGCCCTAGCCCCTGCCCAGTTTCCCTGGCCATACCCCTTACCATACCCAATGTCCTCGCCCTACCCAAATTATCCCTACCCCTTTTTCCAAGCCACTCCCCAGACACCGGTCATGCCCAGTCCGGCCCAGTCTGCCCCGGATGTGCCCACATCCAATATGGCCGCCACTTCTTCCCTTAACCCTAACGCAGCCCCTTTCCACGCCTCCAATATGGCGGCCCCCAGTCATTCAGCACCCCTGATGCCGGTACTTCCCGGTGACTACTCACCACAGGCTCATAACCTACCCGCCACCCCAGCATCTGGGAATCCCTCATTTCCCCCGGTTCTGACACCTCAGGTTATCCCATCACGTAGAAGGGCCCAAACCACAGATGAGGATGAGAATGATGAGGGTTCCCAGGGCTCACTAGAGGTTGTAGAGTCACAGCCCCACCGTTCCATAGATGATCCTTTCGGGCATGCGGGTCGGGGAAATAGGGGGGACCAGGCCCCTCCTAAATATGTTGCTTTCAATCCAACGCAAGCTAGTGCTTTAATAAAAATGCTCCCTGACCCAGAAAAGCAACCTATGCCTTTTTACCGAGGGATAGTTCAGATTCAAAATACTTATTCTGCAGCATGGCGTGATTTACTAAGCATTTGTGCAATCAAGGCCGGGGATGCATATTGGCCCAGCATGTCCCGACACCTCAATGCCGATTTACTGACAAGTGACACTGATTACCCCTCCGGAGTAACTTTTTGCAGCCAGGTAAAGGAGTGGGCAAAAGACAAACTTGCAGATCAGGCTGCCGGCATTACTGATGTTATACAAGAGAAAGGAGAATCAGTGGAAAGATTTCATGCAAGACTGTTTCAAATGTTTACAGATTTGGGCTTTGATCGTACCGACAAGATTCATTCACAAATGCTGTCAGGTGCATTTGTCCAAGGTGTAAAGGATTATATTCGTAAGGGAATCATTGCTGCACGCCCTGAATATAAGGTAGTCTCTCTGGATACCCTACTTTTAGTTGCCAGGGGTCTAGAGTCTGCACAGGCTCCCAAAAAACAGACTTCGGTTTCTTCCTCAGCCCCTCTCATGGTGTCCCGCTTCACCCCTGTCCCAAGAGGTACCAAACCTGAGGATGGTTTCTGTTTCAATTGCAAGGCTAAAGGTCACTTCAAAAATGAGTGCCCGGAACCCAGAAAGGCGCCCAAGCCTGCACCTGCCCATAAGGCCACAGAAACGGTTCCAATTGTTAAGGAACCAGATGATTAGGAAGTTGGCAAGCCTGTGTCATTAACCCCTGTCATGGCAGTGTCTTCAGGGGATAAAGGGGGGGGGGGCACTTGCCACTGTGACTTTACCCATTGAAGGACGAGAAACCACATTTTTAGTTGACACAGGTGCAGCCCGAAGTGTTCTGAGAGAACAAGACCTGCCAGATGCCTCATTCCTATCAGAAATAGATGTCTCTTGTGTTGGAGTGGATGGCCAACCAAGGCACAGTCCTTTAACAACCCCATTGCGAGTTGGCAATTACCCAAACTTGCTTGCTCGATTTGTAGTATCCTCCACATGCCCAATTAACCTGTTAGGTGCTGATGTCCTCTCACGCCTGCAGGCATCTATCACCTTCACCCCAGAAGGTCAAGTAGAATTGTCTACTCCCCTATCTGAATCAGATACCTCAGTTTTGTGCTCCCTACCTCTAGTGCTGCATTTAGATGAACCCCGTGGGGAAGCAAAAGAGCAGAGGTCCAATTTTTCGGATATCATCAAAACAAAGGTACCTGCAAAATTATGGTCCAAAGGCCCAGAAGACATAGGTCATCTGAGAGTTCCACCTGTGGTGGTAAAGCTCATTCCAGGAGCAAAATTACCAAGAAAACCACAATATCCTCTAAAGCCAGCTCAGGCTGCAGCTATTTCAATTCAAATCAAAGCACTTTTGGAGAAAGGTGCTCTTGTGAAGTGTGAATCAAAATGCAACACCCCATTATTTCCTGTGAAGAAGAAAACACCAAAAGGGGAACCAGAGAAGTACAGAATGGTCCAGGACCTCAGAGCTGTCAATGAAGCAACTGTCCTGGACACCCCTATTGTACCAAACCCCCACACTCTGCTATCTGGAGTTCCACCATCTGCAAAATACTTCACAGTCATTGACCTGGCTAATGCCTTCTTCAGTGTTCCACTGGATCCGACTTGCCAATACCTGTTTGCTTTCACTCATGAAATGCAACAGTATACATGGACTGTCATGCCCCAAGGGGCACAAAATTCTCCAAGTCAATTTGCTAAAGCCATGTGCTCCATTCTGGACCCATGGCAAACAGACCACCCAGAAGTTGTCCTACTTCAGTATGTGGATGATCTCCTACTTTGTGGGGATGACATACCTACAACAGAAGACTGTTCTATTAGTCTCCTTTGCTACCTAGCAGAACAAGGATGCAAAGCTTCACGTCTCAAGCTGCAATTCTGTCAGCCAACAGTAATCTTTCTTGGACATTGCCTATCTCAAGGCACCAGACATCTCACTCGGGACCGAGTCAGAGCCGTACTGGAGATTCCACCTCCAAGAACCACAAAATCTCTCCATGCTTTTTTAGGCCTCATTTCCTATTGCAGAGCATGGATCCCAGAAGCCTCTCTGCTTATGCAGCCACTCTATGATGCACTCAAGTCAGACCCATTCTGCCTGACAAATGAAGCACTGGACAATTTTAAAATTCTGAAACGTACCATTGCATCTGCTCCTGCTCTGGGCCTACCAGACTACACCAAACCCTTCAAATTATTTGTCTCTGAAAGACAAGGCCACGCCACAGGAGTGCTTACCCAAACAAATGAGTTAAGAGGCCGCCAAAGGCCTATTGGGTTTTTCTCCTGTCAGCTGGATATCGTGGCCAGAGGGGCCCCTTCATGCCTTAGGGCTGTTTTTTGCTGCAAGAGAACTTATTGAGAAAACTGCAGACCTGGTCCTTGGTCATCCTCTGGTCGTATTGGCACCTCATGACATTTCTGCCATTATCAACCAAGTCCAGCTCAAACATGTGTCTCCTGCCAGACACCTGCGTTTACAGTGTCACCTCCTGCTACCTGACAACATCACCATACAAAGGTGTCAAGTTCTTAATCCGTCCACTCTTCTTCCACTCCCTGAGGGGGGTATCCACTATGGGTTTATCATGGACGAAACCTATATTTTTCTCCTCACTGGAACCATCAAGAGGATGCATCCTGATTTAACCTTTTATAAAGAACAAAAACCTCTCTGTGAGGGTCCAGGATATGCCTTCTGTACCACATGGTACAAGCCGAACATCTCTCCTGAACCTTGCTATGAAGATGAACTCTATCACTGGGTGGAGGTGAAACTCACTGCTCACGACTTCTATTGTGATTCTGAAGGCAATAGCATGGTCTTGATCGAACTACCTTCAGAACTCAAGTATTTATACCGTCATTGGGATACTGCTATTCCACATGTCCCTGTTACCAAGTTGAAAACAAAATCATGGAATGATCTCGGGCCCATGGCGAAATTATGGGCCACCATGGATGACTCGAAGTTACAGGAAAATGGCATTGCCAAATACCCCACAACTGACCTACTTGAAGCATGGCCACGCCATTTCCTGGAAAATGACTTTAAAAGCCTGGTCATAGTAAACAACTATGACCCAGAGACTCCTCACGACTGTTTTGAACAGATGAAAATGGAGACCATACATCTACCAACGGTGCATGAGAATCCATTGACAAATCCTGATTTCACTCTGTTTGTGGATGGTTCAAGATATGCTGATGAAGAAGGAAAATACCACACAGGATATGCCGTAACCACAACAGATGAAGTTATCAAGTCATCATCTTTACCACCAGCAATGTCTGCGCAAGAAGCTGAATTACAAGCCCTGTCTTCAGCATGCAAAATCTCCGAAGGAAAACGTGCCAACATCTACACAGATTCAAGATATGCCCTAGGTGTGGCACACGACTTCGGCCTCATATGGAAGACAAGAGGATTTCTTACTACTGCCGGCACACCAGTCAAACACAGCTCTGCAATCAAAGAGCTAATGGATGCCCTCCTACTCCCTGAAGAAGTGGCCGTATTGAAAGTCAAGGCACATGGAAAGTTGGATACAGATGAAGCAAGGGGCAACCATCTGGCTGATCAGGCTGCTAAGCAAGCAGCAAGAAATTTGCAGGAAGTGGACGAAGAAGTGTCCGGTCAAGAAGAAGTTCCTGTTTTTACTTTACAGACCCTTCCTACTGATCTAAGGATTTTGCGGGAACAGCAAGCCGCAATTACCCCTGAAGAGATCCAGAAATGGAAGAAGAAAGGGGCTGTCTTAAAGGACGGAATATACTATAACAATTTCAAATTCTGCCTTCCAAAAAACTTATACCCAGCAGTTGTCCAATGGGCACACGGACCAGCACATCTGTCAAAAGATTTAATGGCCGCCCTCATCCAGAAGTATTATGAAGCCCCTGGAATAACAACATTGATCACTAACTTCTGCAGGGTTTGTGCCATTTGCGCAAAATGCAATCCAGGGAAGCCAATCAAAGTGCCTACAAAACATCTGGCTAAGCCCATGTACCCATTCCAGAGAATTCAAATTGATCATATACAAATGCCCAAGAGCGGGCCCCATGAATATGCACTAGTGATAGTGGACATGTTCTCAGGCTGGCCAGAAGCCTACCCAGTAGCCAATATCACTGCCAAAACAACAGCAAAACGTCTACTTACAGATGTTGTATGTAGGTTTGGACTTCCAGAAGTTATTGAAAGTGACCAGGGCCCAGCCTTTACAGCAACAGTGACTAAAGAGATTTGGACTGCTCTGGGGGTGACCCTAGCCTTTCACACCCCTTACCACCCACAAAGTAGTGGGAAAGTGGAACGCATGAACGGCACCTTAAAAGCCAGAATGCTTAAAATGTCACAAGAAACAAAGATGCCCTGGCCAGAAAGTCTACCAATAGCTCTATTTAGTGTTAGGCACACACCTAGAGGGAAGCATTCACTATCCCCATACGAGATTCTATTTGGGACCGCACCCAGACTAGGTTGTTATTATCCACAACAGTTACAGCTTCAATCTGATGTTTTAGTAGACTATGTAATTGAACTTGCAAGGGCCTTGAACAAAATACATGCCCAAGTTTTCTCTTCAATTCCAGATCCCGATTTGGATACAGGTACCCATAGCCTGCTTCCTGGAGATTGGGTTCTGGTCAAGAAGTTTGTGCGGAAACATACCTTGGAACCAAGATTTGACGGGCCATTCCAAGTTCTCCTAATCACCGCAACCTCCGTCAAATTGGCCGGCCGGCCACATTGGATCCACGCTTCCCATTGTAAGAAAGTACTTGCCCCAGAGGAAGCTAGTACCGCACCACCATGTACCTCTGGTACAGTATCTTCTTAATCAGCTTAATTAAAGCTCAACAAGTAGCCATCACTAAAGATGCTAGTGGGTACACCTTCTGGTATAATTCATCATGTACCCGTGTGGCTACTTATACTTTTGACTACTGTGACATCGTAGAATGCCCATTCCCCACGTCACAGATTCAGAATATCTATAGAGATATCCCTCATTCAAAAGACCCCTATGTTTGTGTAGTTGACAAACAATGGGGGCACAACTGTAACCATTGGGGGGCGGCGGGATGGAATGCCGGGCCTGCCTGGGGTTACAAACCAAAAAGTGTCTTATCTAAAATTGATGATCACGGTAGGTCCCTCCTCCAGAGAATGACTCTGAGAAAGCCCGGAGGAGGCATACCTATGAAATTAATCTTAAACATTGAGCATCCCA